AAATACACTAGTGTTAAAACAGCTTGGCTGTTTCTTCACAGCTTCTGAGAAGTCGCTAGTAGGGTGTCAGACACCTTTTTGGATTGTTTAACCCTTTAAAGTCAAGAATGCAAGTGTATGTTGTAGTTAGACAAGGAGGGAGAGATGAGGAAGTACAGAGGGAGCAAACTGCCCCGAAACCTTTGTGGGCCTCCACTTGTTCCTTGAGGTCAGAATTTGTAACGCGCTTCTGTGTAGCACCAAGGTGTTTGGGGTGAGTGTCGGGGTAAGTGCTCTCGTACTGCGATTGAGAGGTTTGTCTGATTTACGCTAAAGGTTTTCGACAAAATTGCGATGGATTAACCCAAATGATATAAATAAATAAATACAGTACAATGGCGTTGGTGTGAAAGCCCAGTCTCACATTTACCTCTGCGAATCAAAAACTTAACTGCTTAAAGCTGAAATGGGCACTGAATCTGACGGTTGTGTAATGACAAAATGTGTAAAAAAAAAAAAAGGAAAGAAATCTCGAGAATCGCTTCAAAAATGGTTTCAGAAGTTGCGTTTGTGTCACATTAGCTATTATTGCTGCAGTTAAAGTGTATCTCCGCTCTGCACGCTCATCGGGGTCAATTCACACCTTCTTATTCCACAATGTGAGACGAGTGCTCGTGGTTTCCAGAATATGGTAAAGATAAAAGAATCTTTTTTCTTTTTGTTCATGGAAATATGAACAAAAGCTGGAGAAACGAATGCCCGAATGTCTGAGTGGACAAACCTCTTTTCAAAAATCGTTTAAATCAGGATTTTGGTCCTTGGTGTCAGTCTTTGGCTGTTTTTGGTGTTTTTATGTTTAACTCTTGTGTTAATACTGCGTGTTACCTGGTGCTTTGCAGTGTTAAAGCTGTCAATCGGAGTCTACACCTCTGCATTTGGAAAGTTAGTTTGTTAGAATATTTTTTTTTGTATTGTTTTTTTAAAATTATTATTATAATTTTTTTGGTTGTTTTTTCAGTTTTTTCTAAAAAATAACAAATATTTAACAAACGTTCAGTAATGTGCATGCACTGTTGTAACTATTTAAACAACAACAACGAAAAAAAAAGACGTTATGGCTGCTCTTCTTAGCACGCAGAGTAAAAAAAACAAAACCGAACAAAAGAGAAAAAGAAAAACGGAATGGGTTTGGTGGTTTACGTTTTTCCATCTCCTCCCATCCAGAGAAAGTGAGAATAGAAGATGCTAATACTACATACAAAATGACTTGATGAGTTATGGCTCTATACCGACAACACAAGTATGCTGAAAAGAAGCATGCCGAGATAACCTCTGTGACAGTGCAAATACATTTATGTATGTCCCTTGTACAAAACATTTAGGTTAGCATTCCGCGCAACATGCTAGTTCTCAGAAAAGATCTGGGTCGGACTCAAGTAGCAGCTCTGAGATATAGCTTGTGTCTTTTCTTGAGGACGTAGGGAAGGAAAACTTATAGAACTACAAGGAAACTACCACTTATACACAGAATAGAAAAGAAGCAGCTTGGGGAAGAAAGAAAAGAAAAGATAACACTTCTTTTTTTTTTTTTATCTCTTTTTGCACCAGCTAGAGAGAAAGAGTTATGAAGGACTTAGAGTTGTGACTGGTTGAAGTACTATGCATTGTCACAATTGTCCAACACATATACAATAAATAACCATCGGTGACACCACAGGACAGAAGTCTTAAACACCATGACATCTACAGAAAACGAGTAAGAATGTGAAGAAAGATGAAAAATGTTGTCAGAGTCGAGATAGGAGGGGAGGTTGTCTGGGGCGAGTCTATGTTTCCCGAGCCTGCTGTCGAGGTCATTTGACAGTCTTGCCAGTGGGTTGATGACTTCACTTCCTGTTTGAGAGCGTCTGTGACCCACCGAGCGATCGAGTTGTATTTGGTCCGTCCTCCAAGTGTGCAGTGGGCAAGGTTTTTGTATCTTATCCAAGAATTCTTCCTTTTACATCAGGGAAATGGATTTGTATTTCCCAGACCACTGACCTGGATATTATTACAAGTGAGAGGGAAATAACATCGGTTGAACAGCTGGCAATCTGCTGCACATCTGCCCGTTTCGTGGCGGTCTGTGGGCCGGAGATTCAGTCCATCCCCTCTCCCCTCTCCAGGCAGCGAACATGCTTATTCATCCTTCTGTGTGTCTTTCAGGATTCTTAAATCTAATATCTCTCTTATACCAAAGTTTTCTCCGAGACAGTTACATTCCCCGTGATATGCTGTTTGATAAATGTCTGAGGTTGACTAGTCTCGTGTACAGGAAGGAAATAACCACTGACTCCAGGATGAAAAATAAAAACGTTTGAAAAGGGCAGGTCAGATATACTTGTCTTGAGTTCACGGCTATCTCTGATCAGTCTCTTCATATTTACAGGGGAAAATAAGATAAGCTACAATGACGACAACTTTAACAACAACAGGTACAAGGACAAACAGTCAACAAGAATAGCAAGTGTAACAGTAAAAGAATGTCAACTTTTAAATTCATTCATTCAAAACAAAGAATATCTTTGTGTTTCTTTAAAGTCATGGCAAGTCAATATGACCTGATTATGGACTTCCTCCTTCTATGACTACGCTGCAAGATAGACAGAAGTATTGCCATCTCATTCTAGTATCTAAGCATCTTTGCAGGGCAATGTAGACAGCCACGGTAGTTGTCGGGTTGTGGGCTGGCCGTTACACCTGGGAAGCCTTTGCCTCCTACCTCTGTGTGAGTTTCTTAGCGTGGTGTGCCATCAAGGGCGGAGGAGGACGGGGTGCTAGGGGTGGATGAGCGAGGGGTGGCAGCAGGGGGGGTAGCAGCCGGACTCCCGGTCCCGCTGCTCGGGGTGCAAGCGGAGGAGCTGATGGGAGCGGGGGTCTCTGAACCCGGAACCCCTCCCTGCTGCTGGCTGGCCTGCTGCTGCTGCTGAGCCTGCAGGGTCTGACCGCACACATGGTGATGCTTCTCCCAGTCTTTATGCTGGCAGAAGGAGCCGCAGTAGCGTGCCGTGTTGCAGCCGCTGCATGTCTCACTGGCCTTGCGTCCGCAGTTCCAGCAGCTCTGACGGACAGAAAAAGACAAAGTCAAATAACCCCAAAAAGTAGCAGCCAGACAAAAACCAATTTGTAATGGTTTAATGCTCTTTTCACATGAAAATCTAATCACACATTGTGACCAAAAGTAAAGAAAATTCCACATTAAACTGGGAACTAGCAAATACAACGTGAAGATTAGCAGCAGAAAGTGGTACACCACACAGGATACCATGAAACAAGCCTCTACTTCTATGCTTGGCACTTAAGCCTGACCCAAACCACAGACAGATAAAAAAAAAATCTCTTGTTACACTTAGGGCCACTTATATATCTTGGAAACCGCAAGGAGAGCATGTCAGGGCGCCTGCATAGCCAGAGGAAAGCGGAGAACAAAGTTATAAACAACCTCTGAAAGTTCTCCTCTGGGGCGCTTCTCTGTTACAAACATCGCTCCTGCAATTAATGTCAGATGAACGGCAGAGTTCCCTCTCAGTTAAATGATTAAACTTTCACGTCTCTAATGGAGATTACCAAATGCTTTTACTTATTTCCTCTCAGCTCAAATGGTAACACCCTTCCAAGCACTGTAAAGTAGCTACTTGGGGGTAATAGGTGCTTCATTATCCTTGCTTCATTTTGCTCTTCCATATGCACTAACACATAAGGGGTGGATAATCAGAATTAGGTTTTACAAAAATGTGCACTATGTAATATTTTTTCTAAAATAGTAATAAAAAACCCACAGCACCTGGATAATCTACCATAGCTTGCATCAAAAGTCAAACACAAAAAGACGATAATGACACTGATGATGAAAGACTGAGAATGTGTACATTCGCTTCTACCTCGCTGGAATCCTCCTGCTGGTTGATTATGGAGAGCGCCTCTTCGGCTGCCTGGCGCTTGGCTTCGGCCACTGTTCGCTCCATCTTGGCCCGCTCGCTGCTGATCATTTCGTGAGCCTTGCGCTCAGCCTCTGACACGGCTTTCTGCAGCTCTGACATGGCCTGCCGCTTCACCTCATTCACAGCCTCTTCTGGAAAGAGTGTGGAGACAGAGGAAGTCAAGCCTCCCGTACCTGCAATATAGCGCGTGCATTTTTCACTGGACTGTATTTTCAGTACAAGTACACCATCGTTTTTTAAACAGGAATAACATATTCGCTGCTGCTGATTCCAAATTGCTATATGCCATTCTAAACAACCCATTAGCATATTCACAGTCTCATTGTGCTTGTTTGTGTCTCTGTCAGGTTTTCGTTCTGCTCTCCAGTTGTTCATCCCGTCTACTTCAGGAGAGAGCAGTGCTGAGTCTAAAGTTGCGTGGATGAGCAGTTTTCATATTCTGGCTAGAAGCTTTTTTTCCCCCTGTTATGCTTTCAGTCAGATGCTCAGCTTCTGAGGCAGCAAGACAGGCAACTGCAAGAGACCCATAAGGGCTGACTCCACAGCAATATCTCAAAATGTGGCAACAGCAGAGACTGCAACTCACTCCCACTTTAACAACCAATGGGAGTCTGCAAAACATCTCAGTAGAAAACCTCTCTTGCGCTCTCTCTTAGCTAAAGCGCATTCAATGAGCTGCAGGCTGAGCTCGTCTTGATGTGTGTTTAAGTCCGCAGCGCGTGCTAAACTCAACTGCACACAAATGTTTTCGCTACTCAGCTCTCCTGCTGTCTGTATTTATTTATGGGAATATCAAACCAAGCAACAAATTACAACAAAAAAAAATACATATTTCTCCTGCTACAGATGAATTCAATTACTCCATCAGTCCAAACATGCATGTTTTAAATGCACACTATATCTAAACTTGCATCACTGTTTTAACACATCTAGAAGATGCACACTAGAAAACAAAATCTGCAATGGATTATTTCACACGGCAAGGAAAACTACTTTAACTATTCATGTTTATTTTATACTTCAAGGCCAACTTTCAGCTTAGAATATTTAATATTAATATTTTATCATTTATTTAATATCTGACAAGATTTAAGAGCACATCAAGTCTAAATGTTGTAGGCTGACAGGATAACGGGGACACTCGTCAGCTGATTTAATTAAACTATTACGATTTAGTTCAAACACTGATTAATTTTCTTTTTAAGAACTTTTTAAATATCTAAATAGACATATTTACATCAGTGTGTGACATATTAATGTAGTTCAATGTTCCTGGAAGATCTTGATCTTGTATATTTTAATTTGGAAAAGAATATCCCGAGGATATTCTCACGAGAACACGAGCTGATTAATCGCAGGTAATCACTCACAAAACGTGCTTTTCAGCCGGAGCAATATGTTATTTTATCCTTGTTTTGAGGAATGAATAACCTTCCGCGTGGGTGTTAAGCGGTGGAATTCCTACAGAACGTCAAAGCAAAAGGAGGGCTTTTTTGTTTGCTCCCATCAAGCCTGTAACTTGACTAATTGTGTATGCAAATCAGGCAATTTATATTTAAATTATGCATTTCCATTGTGATCCCAGAGGCCCATGCGGTGAGGGGAAGTGGGAAACCGGTAGGACACCGTGCAAGGTGCTTGAATATTTATCACCAACTGTAAACATTTTGCCCATTTCAAACAGATGTATTCGCCGCTGCACTCCATTGTGTTAAAAATCCTATTTTGCAATCCTCCCCGGGTCACATTTAAATCAGTCTCTCCTAAGCCAGAATATGAATGAAATGGATAACGGAAAATACTGAGGATAAGGCAAATAGAGTGAAAAGTAAGAGGCCCCTTTTATCCGACAGACAAAAGATAAAATAGAGCTTTATGCCTGACAAATATGCTTCACTTTCTTAGTACATATTACACTGGCGTTAAAAATGTAAAATCTGTTTTCGATATCAGACCGACTGCATGCTTTTATAAAGACAGAAACATTTTCTCTCCACTGTGATTGAGGCGAATTTTTAAACCAGGGTGCTTTTGTCTTTAACCTACTATGCTGCTTGAAGTCATGGAAATTGCCCCGGTGCCTTGTGATATATGCCTTGTGCGTGGAATTGTGATTACACACCAAATGCCTTAGATGGAAGATCGATCAAAGCTGGTGAGGGGAAAGAGAGTACCGGAGAGGAGGCACAGTCCCGATGGTGATACTCAATTCAATTTAAATGCATATTACTTGTTCTGAGTATCTCACACATCATGCTTGGTCAAGCAAGGGGACAATTTCTTTTCTCCAGGGGGTTTAAAAGGCAGATACACTGTATCACTGGTGGAGAATACAAAACCTCAAAGAGTGAACCCTCAGGTTTTCAGAGTGATAACAGTGACACAATGCTGTTTTTTTAAAAAGCTATAAAAAATGAATGCAAGTGCTGATTTTAATCGGGTTATTAAAACATTAAGGAGTTTCTAAACTCTGCGCATTTTCCTCTACAATTTTGTTAAGTAGAATAGCTGCAGTGTCTCTCATTAAGGGGATAAAAAAAGTGCCAAAAGCAAATTGAAACCAAATCTTGCCACTTTTGACAGGAGACCACTGGGCCAGCTGTAAAAGCTCCTTATGTCCCTTATTTGACTGCAATAAAATCCTTGTAAGGCCTGACATCATATTCTGAGTGTGCAGTGCATAGTGATGAAACTTCCTACAGAATCAGATATAGATAACCTGACTTTAATGCAAATCTAGCAAGGTTTTGTGTTGCAGACAATAGACTACACTGGGATGAAAAGGGGAGAGAACAGGTTTAAAGGAGCCTTTCTCATTCATCTACCTAAACATGGCCTCGAGTTCCATAAAGCATAAAGCCTTCAGACAGATTAGGGGAAAAATAGAGGAACTGTGTTTACGTGCCACTGATCAGAGGCATGAAAGTGCTGCTCACCAGCTTTTTTCCAGATCTCTTCAGGGACGTAGCCAGAGACAGGCCGGTGCAGGAGCTCCCGGTGAATTTCTGGAAAGACACAAACATACAGACGTGGTAACCAGAGATCCCTCAATGGCATAGTACACAAAACTGTGAAATATTTAACATTTTGGCTTTTTTTTATGTTCCAAAGGACTTTTTGAGACCAGTGCACTGAAACTGACTTAGTATCAGCCAGTGTACACATATTTAATGTAAAAATAGGGGGCCTAGATTTGAACTCTGGGGGACTCCACACTCAATATTATTAATTCATAAAATACAACAAAGATCTTACAGCTAATAATAATTAATTTTGGACTCATTTCAGATTTGAGCTTCTTTAATAGTGGTTTAAAAACTTCCGAGCCTTAAGCCTGGGATATATTCCATTGCAGACCGGGACAGCTGGAGACCCAACAGTCATTTCTGTTTTACTTCTTTGAAGTCTCCTGGCTGGGCACATGCCTAGTTGGCACATTGTCATATAAATTCTCCACAGATAAGTCTGTGTGGTCACAGAAACAGGCAGGCACATGGAGGTCTGCACAAACCCTCTCAGAAGGTAGCAGAGTATAATCCTTGCTTTAAGAGACCTAACAGACTGCAAGGTAATGCGCATCAGCTGACACCTTTAGAGTCTGTATTTAATATAGATACCTTTAAAAAACAATTAAAGTTGCACAGATTACACCGAAAAACTGAAAATCAGTAGTCTTAAAAGATGAACAACAAGCTTAAAACCGGCAGACATGCATATTAATTATAATTTAACAATAATACTTCTAGCATGTAAGTGGATCCATACCTGAAGTTGTGTTTTCTTGTGCTGCAGGGCTCTGCTGCCTTGACTGCCCGCTGACAGCGCCTTTCTTCTGCTCCTCGGCATCGCTGTATCGTCGGATCCAGTAGTTGAGCTCCTCACGGTCAGCCTCCTGGCACCGCCGCAGTACCGTCAGTGAGCGCCTTGTTTTTTCCACCATGTCCATGATGCAGTTGAGCAGCTGGAGGTGACAGGGAGCAGACACAGCGCTGAGTTTACACATAGACAGGATGAATGGGCTGATTTGAATTCAAAGAAGGTCTTTGTCAAGGGTAAGGTTCTTCACATACATGTAATTTCAAACATCGTTTTGACTGAGCTCATAAAGAAACTTAAAAGCATCCAAACTTTAATAAAGACTCACCACAAGATCTGCTAGATAACAATTTCATACGAACTGATACTCAGAAAACTTACAAAGACAAAACTGTAGAGTATAGTAATAAAATTGTTATTACTTTTCTTACATGGTCAAGGTGCTTCCACTCCTCAGCCCATTCTCTGTCTGTCAGCCTGTGGTCAATCACTTCCTCCTGCCTGGTGCCTGCATGCATACCTGCAAGAATGAAAGATAGACAAATAGATGGACAGATAAACAAACAGCAACTCAGCATGACACAATCAATTACTCCATCAAGCCCTTGCTCCCCTTTCATTTGAATTCAGTTTGGCACTCTTTCTCTATTCATTTCTTTTCCCTGCTCCCACACTCCCCCTTTTCTCTGCTATCTCCTTATCGCTCTCCCACCCCGAGGGCAGGACTCAGATGACTGAGCTTCTCCTCCCGTAAACATCCATCACAAGGTGAGACATGCTAAATGTGTCTCCTATTTTTAAAATAGAGCCCAAGTCATTATTACAGCTTCATCAAGGCCAGCTTTATTCAAAAAGAAAAAAAGGATCTAATATGATGATCTCACATCTAAATGTGCGTCTGCGGAGTGTTAATGTATCTCACTTTTTATGACGTCTGTGGCTCCTGAGTCTCACTGATTATAATGATAATCTGATTGATTATTGTAATAGTTATTCATCTCAGTGGACTATAAAGATATGAGAAACCGGTGAAATGTATGTAAAGTGATCTTGCGCTCTGAGATATACAGTCGTGTACACAAATGTAATCCTCAGTATCCTCACCAATGGGCCTTGCTCTCTCCCGGATCTCTCGATGATTAGACGCTGGGTGTCTGTAGGTGTCGCGGTAGTGATGGGCAATGGCCATGTCGTCTAGCCTGTAGTGCTGTGGAGGGAGTGGGCCTGGGTGAGGCAGACCATTGGGTTGGTAGGAGAGTCCATTGGATGGGCTGAAACGCTGGGCAGGACTTATAGTGCAGGGCCGTTTGCTGGGGTGAACGTCCGGATGCAGAGAGCTGTCTCGTTCAAAGCCGTTCTCTTTGGTTCTGAGTGGAGACGCAGACAAATGAGTAATGTGGCTGTCGTTGTTGCTTAGACTCTTTCAAACAGTGACGTGGGATAATTCCCTTATTTAATAAGGTCGTAATTTTTTTCTTAGTTTCTTTTTTTTTTAAGTACCGGCAACATTTTTCACCTGTTTTAATATTTGAAGACAGAATACGGGGCCAAAGCTGGCATAAATCTTTGCCGTTATTACCAAGCTCGCACAATTTCTACTGACAGCTCTGCAGATAACAAAAGGCTTCCTGAGGTGCATTGGATTGGGAAAAAAGGAAATAAAAGAGAGGAAAGCGGACGACACAGGAACAAATCAGTGTGATATTTACATCACACCTATTTTGTAAAAATAAGTGATACAAAATGTGTTTGTTACAGTTATTTCATACAAGAGCCAGACCTGAAGCATAGCAGTACAACAACTGGTCCGCCCCCTTGTGCTGTCGGAAATATTTGAGTCCAACCTACCAGACAAAGCACTTGCAATGAAAGGCTACTTTTCCTGGATTCCTTTTGGAAATTTTTTTATTGAAAACATGTCTATTCACAGACACACACACACACACATAAGCCTGAATGTGTGTGCTCGCATGCTTGCATACATACTCACACAAGTAGTTTTCAGGGGATCAGGTGGATTTTTGTTAGCCTGCTTCCAAAGATTAATGTGGCCAGGTGTGTTATTGTGTGAGCACACTCTCACACGTGTGCTCTGTATGCCTTTGTGTGTGTGTTCTCACTTTTGTCACTTCACAGTTACAACTTGCCAACCTCCCCCGCTATCTGCAGTCCACCAGTTTCCTCTCTCTCTGTCTGCCTCTCTCCTCTCCGTTCCCATCTCCCTCTCTCTCTCTCTCTCTCCGATGAACAGATTGAACTTCTTAATGAGCTGTTTTTATGGGCTCCTAATGCTCATCCACAGCTCTCCATATGCTCTTTCCCTTGCATTCGTCCATCTCTCCGTCTCCCTCGACTCATCCATCCCCCCCCACCCCCCCCACTCTTTTCTGCCCAGCCTTGCTACTGCAACAATATTTATATCTACAGGCACTAAAGTACACGCCTGTGAACACATTTACAGTCACCTGTGCAAAACCCCGGTGTGCACGCCCTGTTAAACGATACACACGTGGTAATTTGCGCGCTTATTTTTGAATACAGTTAAAATTTTCTCCAATTTACACCAATTTATATTTTTAATATGTTTATTTAACTTTAAATTTGAAACAATGTAGGAATATTATTTACTGACTAGATTTCTTTTGGAAGGAAGAAATAGCCTGTTGTGTATGATTATGCTGTATGCCACGGATGGAATTAATATTCTGGAAATGCACTAAAATGTAATGTGCACAGAGGCATTGCTATTAGAGCACGGTCATCAGTAATACTGTACTCTCAGACGATATTTAAATATTGGCTTTTTGAGCATACACAGTATCTAAGACTATACTCTAATTTTCCTGGTCTGTTTTCTGCAGGCGATGGTATTAATCAGAATGCATTGATAGTGCATTGTTGTCTGTAATTAAGAATTCTCATTCAAATTCCAATATTCTGACACAGGCTCCAATAAGTGGGAATGCAGAGCAGGGGTAAGCAGAAACCAGAGGTGCTTAGCCAGCCATATTGGTGCTGGAGCCTCATCTGTATGTGTTATCAGCCCATCTCCCTAGGCACACACACACGCTCACGCAGAGACACACACACACACACA